CCGCAGGGTATTTATAATTGAAAACATCCACGGTATTGGTTAATGCACCTACCCCTCTTTTCCTGCTGCTTACTCTTGCATTGGTGCATGCACTCTGTTTCAGTCTGCTTCAGTGTGCAGACTGAATAGGTTCCCATTTGATTTATGATAGAGCTAGCTGCCTAGGCTGTGTTGGCCATTTATTAGGCAGTGATTGATATTGCACACAGCATTTCTACATGTTTATTTGATGATAGGCAAATCGACTGCAATCAAAAATAAACTACTGTGCTTGTTTTCATGTACTTTTTGTGAAGGGTCTTTTAATTAACTTCTATTACAAATGAATAATTCTAGCATCTTGTACAACAAGAGGGGGATGCATAAAGTAAGGAAAGGGAAAGATCTGGCTTCAATTATATTTCATATGAACCAAAATATATTAATTATAATTGTACTTTTTGCATTATCAAATGAATTCACCTATTAGATTAAATAGACATGAAGTTTGAATTAGTGGAAATTTAAGGGGGTAAAATTGAACATATTTATCAGAAATAACTATTAGAAAATACTACTTTGCTCATGAAGTGCAGCAGCATTTCTGAAGTGAGGTTACTAATTAAAGATTTTTTTTTTTAGGGATTTGTAATTGTAATGAGTATCAAAGGCAAGGTCTGAATATTAAAACTAAGGGATATCAAAACCTCAAACTTTAAATGTTTTCAAAGAATTTTCAGGGTACATGTAGGTTTTCTCACCAATATGCAGGTCAGGTTAAGTTCATAGGAACAGGCTGCATTTAAAGAAGAAAGCACGATCAACTGTACCTTATGATTCAATATTTGTTTCTTTTGTTGAGACATGCATGTATTATTACCCTATCTCATTGTCACATTTACTTCTCTGCATGACAGGTTAAAGGTCAAGTGCACCACCACCTGCTTGACAATATAGCTCATAAAAGTTTTAGATGACTTTTCATCATTTTTGGAATTGATTTTTTGGAAGATGAATTTGGAGTATAATGAGTTAAGGTTGAATGAAGGTTCATGCTACAAGCTATCTGTTTTCATTGGAATTGAAATTTCATGGCAGTGATTTTGTAAGAAAAATGAGTGAGTAATGCTTTGTATATCAATACCTATGTAGAGAGAAGATAGGTGTGCTTTAATAGTGGCTCTGAAGCTTTTTAACCAGAATAGGCCATGTTTGCTTAGCTTGCCAAGTCACCTGTTCTGTAAATTGTCATTATAAAATGGAGCTGAACTTTCTTTTGTCCAAACTCCAAAGTACATTGTCCCAACATTGATAATAACCTTTGTACTTTTGAAAGGATGTTGATGTGACTGATAGTCACATGAGAAATGCATTGAAACCAAAATTAATAACAAATTTAATATATCAATTGTGATTGATTTTCTCTTGTAAATTAGACTTGTAATGAAATCACTCATTGTAAGTTGACACATTGTAAATCTTGGTGGTGCTTAATTAATTTTAATCAAAAATCTCATTGGAAAGTTTGATTTAAGAAATGATAGTTTTCATGTCTAAGAAACATTTTATCTGTAATACACTACTTAAACCGTATGAAATATATGTTTTTTAGTTTTTGTCCTTATTGTTCATTTTTAAGGGTTAAATAAAATACAATTGAAGGGGCAGTTTAATTATTTGTAAAGACCTGGGTGTAAATTCCTATTGGATTAAACAAAAAAATAAATATGGTAATTTTAAAAGACAAGAAGATGAGTTATTCAGCATACTCGTACATGTTTGCCATTTATTTCATGTAATCATTTGATTTTGCCGTAGCAGTATTTCAATCTCATTCAAATACTTGTTATTGTTATTTGTTATGTACTTGTACATGACAAAATGAAAACAAATTTCCCTGGTTAGGTCTATAATTTTCTTGATGAATTTTTTTCTCCCCCAGTAAAATTAAGTTGCCAAACAAAGTTGAATCAAGTGTTAGAACATGTGATTATGACTAGGCATTGTCAGAATGTGATGTAATCTTCATGTTGTCCTTGTAACATTCATTGTGATGAGAGGAGAAGGCACATCAGAAGCTGCTGTGTAATTATCATTCGTATAAAATTTGTTTTTCCGTTCCTGGATGTCTCATTATGGTTGTGATAGGAGGGGATGACAACAATGCAATCAATATTGAACCCGAGTTATTCAATCAATCATGCCCCTCATACATGAATCATACACGGCAGTACTGTCAATATAGATAGCCGCATATCTAGCCTCATTCTCCAGACACTGACTGCATTCTCAATATTTGGAATGGATGAGTAAGGCCAGATGGATAGACGATGTGATTATCTTTTGGTGTTAGACAGTGGCCATGTTATTTGGGTTCTGACCTTTATATGGACTAAGACGAGGTTTTGGCTTATATTTAAGCCTTCTTGTGTGTCTGGAAACATGACTTTTTATCATTGTGATTCTTTAGATAATTAATTCTCCATTTAGAATTAACAGAAACTTACTGCACTGGAGTGTTCATATTATGAGATCTAGAATATAGTTGACTCTATGCCTACTGCAGTGGGACAATATTAATTTTAAAATATGAAGGACTTGTAGACTTCATTCAAGTTATATTAATTATCTTTCATTTTCTTAATTTTCACTTTCTTGTCATGTCTTGTGTATTACACTGCTATATGTAGTCACTTTTATATAACACTTTATTTAGATTCACCAGGTTATAGTCATATAGACCCTCATGAATAATTTCAAACTTATTAAAAATGTATGAAAATTCAGACCAGACAAAATTTCAGGACCGGTACATGAAGCTTCATTACCTACAGACATTAATGTATGTCTGTGTTTGTGTGCATTTGACGTGCAAATGCTTGCTAGGGTACATCACTGCATAGGTATGCGCAGCTAGCTAGACTCCTCTTGTTCCGCAGTGCTAGCTCAGAGTCTGTGAATCCTCCGCACGCCACACTTGAACAACGTCATGGGCAAGATAGATGCATCAGGCATTAGTAATGTTGTAGTGTTGGACATGCTTGTATGCCTAGGCCATTGGACCAGTGCTTGAAACGTTGAGCAGGTTGACCTATCAGGTACATTTATGGCCGGTAAAGGTTCGCTTGTTCAGCGTTGTTCAGTACCGTAGCTAAGGCAAAGGATCGAGGCTGCAGGTTACCTGAGCATTGTAATTACTTTTAAAGGGAAAGGACACCTCTGAATTGGAAATTGTTCAATGGTGTGAATAGCTGTGCAGTAGCTATGTCAAAAGCTCTCAAGCTATTCTAAACTTCTGTAAATCAGAATCTTATCTCTTGCCAAAGCAAAATTGGCAAGGCTATGTGTTAACATACTGTAAGAGGTGTTTTTATATGATATGAAGAAAAACATTGTTCTTTGTGCTCAAAGTGAACGACCCTTTCCATATTTTAAGAGCACAGAATATACTACATGAACATACAACATTGAAAGCATGGGCCTTACACATAGCGCTTTCCTAATTCTTGGATACATGCAGGTTATGAAATTTGTTAACTTCTATATAAAAAGTTTTTTTGTCTTCCTTCAAATTTGCACAAATGTACTTTGTTTATCGTCAATTAAATATATTTAGGAAGGCTTGCCTGTCCCTTTTGAATTTTTGACATGAATAAACTGTTATACTGATGACCTTTTCTTTTATTTTCATTAGTATTCCTCTATCATTTCAACATGCCCCCATACCTGTCTTGGTTTCCTATCTCAGATATTAACAATTCTCTGTCTTCTGCACTTAATCTATGGTAGACTATATTAACACCCCCTCACATTGAGCAAAACAAGTTATCTTAGAATGAAGCTATACTTGGCCTCTGACATTTGCAGACAAATCCATATTTTGCTGTCCTCAAAACTTAATAACTACAATGACGCTTCTGCCGGGTGTATCTAGGGAAGAAATTAGAAAAACAAAAAACCCATGTTCTGCAAGGGCTTTCCCATTTGATCAATAATTGACTGGTCATTTGAATGCAATCTGAAGCAGGTTACATTGAGGAACTGTCTTGTCATGTATGCCACTTGTGCAATGTTATTTATTAGCCATTATCTATTGGTTTCATAGATATTACGTTGGTGTGAAAGGGTCTATTACAAGGGCATGATTACAGTGAAGGCAAAATGTAGGGTGTGTGTATGGGTGTGTGTGTTTTATATGAAGACTTGAGAATTACATGATCAATAACATTTATACTTGTAAATTGCTAGTGGACACATGATTTGTTCTACATGTAGCTAATACTAGCTATTATGAATGAGTGATTTTTAAATCAGACATTTCCCCCCTTACCTCTGGATCTAGTGAAAACTGCCATCTGTGCATGTTTGATACATGAACATGTCCATGTAATATTACATATCCACATATCCATGTTGGAAGACATTTTATTTGACTACTTTCTCTTGTGATTTTTATGGTTTTGTGATACTTTTGGTCTCTATCATGACATTTAAGTTTGTTTGTTGCATATTTCTCCTTTGAATTCATGCAATGACCCTTCTATATAACCTTAAGGCAATCAGCTGGCATCTCAGCCTGAATAAAGTGCATAAGTCAATCTGTGCCTTTTCTTAGTATAACCCATGCTGTTTGGTTGTGTTTCATTGGTCAAGGTAAAAAGAATATAACCGAAGCAAGAAAGTGATCCATTTGTGCCACAAGCACTTGAACTATATTAGATCAAACCTAGGAATGATTATTTCTGTTTGCGGCAAGACTTTATTAAATTCATAAACAAAATTCAGTATGACCCTTTTGCTTACTGTAGATTGGTGTGATGTGATCGCTACATGTAGTTTATTTTCTCTCTTGAACTTTCTTTTATTTCATCTTAGAAATTTCGGTCTCATCTCTTTATTTCTACAAATCATACAATCTTTCCTAATGCTTTATATAGTTCAAACTTAGTGAATAACTTTTCTTTTTTAAGAAATATCAATTCATGCATTAATATCTCTTATTTCTTACTTTTATTTTACAGGTTGCAATCAAGATCATCGACAAAACACAACTGAATCCTAGTAGTTTACAAAAGGTGAGAATTTGTTTTCTTCCAGTCCTCAACAATGTTGTGTCTAAATACTATTTATAATTTGTGATTTCCATTTTTGTTTCTCTTTTTTTCAAGAATATTTCCCAATCCTTTCTTTAATGCACAGTTAGGATCGTGGTATTTCATTACTTGTTTAATATTGGTCAGTTTGTTTTCTATAATTTGTTGTGGAAAACAGAATTGAAAATACAGACCTAGCTGTGTTTTATGTGACATTTAGAAGTTAAAGAGAAGGTTGAGTTCTGGGAAGAGGTGAAAAATAATTTGTGAGCATTACTCATTCTTATTATGCAAGTGCGGATGAACATCAGTTAAGACATGTTCCCTGAAAAGCATGGCTCTTCAAATGCCTTCATATTCTAAATATGCATGTAACATCGTAAAAATCGGGGGCCGGCTTTTTACGCCACGTGTTCGTGTAGTCCATATACATCTTTCTGTGCAAGTGTTTGTAACTTTACCAAGACTTGGCCAAATTTCTTATCATTTTGATGATTCCAGAACCTTGCAATACACACACATTCTTATAGATGCTAGATGATCAACCTTTTCTGGTCGGTTCCACACCGTTTCTTTCATAATGCAATCGCATGACCACAACTCAACTTCATCTTTAAGCTTCAAATGGACAAAGTAATTGCAGCAGTACTTCTCAAGCAATTTTCAAAATTTCTTAAATTGTTTATAAAGTGAGCTAAAGAAGTACATGTAGGTAGTGGATAAATTCTTTGTCCTTAACATTAGATCAGATTGCTCCATGTGTATCAGAATCACGCAGTCTATCTATATAGTTGTACAGTTCAAGTTGGATTGGTTGGAAGTTTGTGTAGGCTTTTCAGCAACCTGTATAAAAACTTAGGTAAAAAATGGCATGGATCAAAGTGACAGACAATATTCAAGATTGCTATCACTTCCACTAATAAACAGTTCATTGGCTGATTTAAATGTCAGAAAAATACAAATGTCAAGTGAGTAAAAGGATTTCACACACACACACACATACACACACATTCTTATAGATGCTAGATGATCAACCTTTTCTGGTCGGTTCCACACCGTTTCTTTCATAATGCAATCGCATGACCACAACTCAACTTCATCTTTAAGCTTCAAATGGACAAAGTAATTGCAGCAGTACTTCTCAAGCAATTTTCAAAATTTCTTAAATTGTTTATAAAGTGAGCTAAAGAAGTACATGTAGGTAGTGGATAAATTCTTTGTCCTTAACATTAGATCAGATTGCTCCATGTGTATCAGAATCACGCAGTCTATCTATATAGTTGTACAGTTCAAGTTGGATTGGTTGGAAGTTTGTGTAGGCTTTTCAGCAACCTGTATAAAAACTTAGGTAAAAAATGGCATGGATCAAAGTGACAGACAATATTCAAGATTGCTATCACTTCCACTAATAAACAGTTCATTGGCTGATTTAAATGTCAGAAAAATACAAATGTCAAGTGAGTAAAAGGATTAAAGAGTGGGTGTACATGGCCGCCCTCAAGAATCTTTGCAGTTTTTCTTTTAGTTCTATATTCAACCCCAATATCTATTCAAATCCAATGTGATACCATAAACAGTATTAGTGTATCAGTCAGTAGGTGGAAACATTCAACATAAAAGCAATTATTCAGCCTGATTTGTTCATGTAATTTGCACTCCTACTGGCAACTCTCGACACAAATAGTATATCTATATATATATTCCACCAAAAGAGGGTATTGTAACTAAGATGTTGGTTATTTTCAAAAATGAAAGAAAGCCCTTTTTGCATATTTTGTCAAGAAGAAACTGGTTGCTCGACAACAGGTACTTTGAAAGGGGGAGGGGGGGGGGGTCAAACTAATGTACAGACAATTTAGCAAGAAGATTCAATAAAACATGAAAAGCAAACAATGTGAATGAGATGTCAAGACTTAATTACCCAACAAAGTAGCCAAAACAATTAAAGAAACAGAAGAAAATGCAAGTTTATCAACAAAAATTTGAGTGGGAAATATCACCTTCCTATATAGTAACCCCTGCCTCACAATGGTTTTATTTCCATTGACATTGAAAGTGGACATACATATTGAATCTTCATTTGAAAAATTACCTTCATACCAATGACTCTGCCTTTGAACTTTTAACACGGTATTGTGACGCATGGGAGTATCATCTTCGAAATTGATAAAGAAAATTACCAGGGGTACAAGCTTGAGTCATTCCCAAACAGTCTGGGTAAAGGAGTGAATGTTTTCAGTCCCATGTGACTAGTTTGACGTCAGAGCAGACCGACTTTTGTGCTTGTACTTGACTGTCAGATGGCTCCCTTCTTGCCACTGTTTGATGTGACTGTCACTCATGCACAAAATTAAGGAGAAAGACTTGCAGGCAGGCAGGCAGCGTAGGAGTAGAGGGGAGCAAGGTGATTTTGTACAATGTCCCTCTAATGAGATTCTATTCTAGGCATCTTTGAGAAAGTTGTACAAATTTTTGCCCTGTGAATGTTAGGTATCTCATATGAGTTAGCTGAACATAGTCGTATAATTTTATCCCTGTGCACTAACCGATGGGGGGATGGGGGCGTAGTTCATTAGGATAACTGTGCTAAGTCAGTGCTGTTTTTATTCGGATGACATGTCACTCTAATTACAGTACATACTTACGTTTTTGAACCGACTTAATTTCTTCTGTAAGTTAATTTTTTATATGTGAAAGTGTCGTAGGTAGAAGTAGGTCAGATGTCCATATCTTTTCCGTCACTCAATAACAGGATGTGGTCTACCTCAGAACAGTTCCTTACCTGAGCTCTTCATTTATAAATCAGACAGTTGTAGTATTCATGTCATGCATACGTTTTCAAGTTACCTGTCTATTAGCTGTCCCATTGATTGTGTAGGCCTATATTCTCTTGACATCCACTGCAGTAAAAAATGAATAGACACTACAAGGGGGGGGGGGCATTTTATACTTTTTTAGTATTGTTATTGGTCATTGTGAATATGAGATGGCTTGCTGGCTATACATGTAATCACCTTGGAACCTCCTTGAGTGTGGAGGCCTGAGTTACACCCTCTCTAAGCTCATTCATGTTTTGTTCATGAGTTTTTTATTAATTTCGTTAATGTTTAAATTGTTTCCTGGCTTTAAAAAGTGCTTTAAAGGTTGGTTATTTGTATGGGTACATACATTTATGTCTGCATATTTTCCACTCATTCTTAGCCCATCTCAAGGGATGCAGAGGAATGGAGATGGGAGTGATTTATCCCCATCGCAACATTTTCCTCCTTCATTCATTGCTCTTCTACTTCATTTCCCTCACTCAGAGCTCCTCCCATCCAAGAAATGACCACACCGCCAGCTGTTGCTACATTTCACCTCACTTAACCCATATATTTCTGGAATGAAGAGATTTTAAATGTAGCTAGCTCTGGCTCTGGTCATAGCATTGCAACTTTGTGAAGACTATGGGAGGCTGGCTGGCCTGTGTTTTTGTAGCCCATTTCTGTTGCAAGTTTGTTGTCACTTCTGACATTGTGTGGTGAACACTTTGAATGGTCGGCCTTTATCATTTCTGAAGGAAGCTTATTTGTGTCAGCCATGGAGGACACATAGCCTTTGTTGCTCATGAGAGCCAGTCAAAACAAGGTTTGTTGATCATTTACAATGGAAATGTGAAGAAAAAAAGTCTGCAGAAAAGGGTTTCATATATATATTAAAAACTTGGTGAATCAGAAATTCTGTGACCTCAAAAATGAACGCATAAGTTGGCCTACGTGAAGGCCTATAGTATGGAGCTTGGAGATTGGGATGATGAATAGGAACAACTTCCATGTAATAGATTAGAAATTTAGAATATCCACCCCCCCCCCTTCCCCTAACAACAACAAAGTCATATATTATATGCTTATTATTGCACTTGCAATTCCAATATTTGATCATTTAAAACTATTTACTTATGTAGAATTCAGTGAATTAACACAAAAACATTAATGTCAACCAACTAAACAACAAAACAAAGTGTACCAGGGAATTCCCTGAAACCCTATACATGAAGTTATGATTCATTGCTGTGGAAGGTATGTAGGTGGACATGCAACAATGCAACCATTAATCATATATCTAGTTGAATCGGAGCTTGATCTGTTTTTGTTTTCCTGGGGGGGGGGGGGGGTTGGTAAACATGTTTACATGCAGCTAGCACTTATTATGAATACATTTGTAAGATACATTTGTTTTTGACATTCCTGATATCTTCCATTTGTCAGTCAAATTGAACTGAAACAGACTTTCATGAAATTGTCTGTTAAGAGTCAGAATAGTGTTAACTCATATACATTAACACAGAGCTACCACCCTTTTAGCTCTCAACAGTCAAAATATTCTCTTGTGTTTTACTAAAAGAAAAATGACTCAATTAAAGCCAGCCATCCATCAGACATGAAAGCATGAGCAAATTACATACTAGTTCTGGTAATAAAGGCAATAGCATTCAGCATTCTAAAGTGACATATTCATCATCATGGCTACCAGGCAATCAAGAAACCAAACGCCAACTAAATTGTGCAACCACAAAATGAAATTTGGAGGTAATTACAATAATTGTCCTGCCTGGTTACTAACTTCTTTCTGGCAAACATAAACCAAGGAAAAAACTAGTAGGCAGTTCTGACATTCAGCTTTGTTGAGCAGTAATCTGTCGATATTCTTCCAACATTGTACAATTTACTCAAACTCTATATCATAAGGAGATAGTGAAAATGTCGAAATTACAAATATCTTGTGAGCTGCATGATTGACTTCAAATTTTTGTCCCATTCTGAATCATTAGTACAATATTGAGAACATTACATTTATTCTAATATTACAAGAAAATAGTCAATAGTTAAATTTTTCCATTCTGACAACTATTTTGAAGTCATGCAATTCAAGGACAAACAAAACTTATTAATTTGAACCAAAGGACCTATTTATTAGTAATTCATGAGGAAGAAGTGCACCTC